AAAAAAAAAAAAAAAAGAAAGAACAAACTGAGGAGTTGAGGCCCTCCCTATTCCCAACCACCACATAGCCAGGACTATTTGCCTCCCTATGCCCATGTACCCTGCCCCTGAGACCTCCCTCACTGCCCATGGTGGGTACTTGGCTGTTCAGCAGTTGGCTTTACTGCCCACCCTTGCTGCAGCCATGTGGGGATGGAGCTGAGGAGCTGCAGGCAGCTGAGGGCTGAGTGAAGAGCTCCCACCCACGCTACCCAGGACCATGCAGAAGTGGTGAATTGTCCCCATCTGGCTGGGCTGGAGGCAGGGAGGTCCAGGCAATGGGGTCTTCTGGACAGATCTTTAAGAACTGGTAGTTAATTCAAACAAGCCACAAGCTCCAGGTATGAAAAACCCCACAAGGACCAGTAGCTTTAAAAAACTGAAGCATGTCTATCTTCAAGTTCTCATGTGTTGCATTCAAGGAAGACAAAGAGGCAAATAATGACAAGAAATGGGACTTTTTCTAGATGTTTTTACCTTTAATAATCGTTAGTAACATAGTTGGAACTTCCAAATATATATTATTTTATTTCAACAACATTCCCTTAACTCTGTAGTTGTACTTGGGGGGGGGGGAAATAAAAAAAGTTACCCTTTGCCATAAATAGTGGGTTGCTGTTCCAAACACTCTGGTTGGGGTGGGTTACCTCTACAGTGCAACTGGGACCAGGCTAACACGTGCAACAGTTTCTACTGCCACTTCAAGGCCAGGTTGGATGGGTCTTGGAGCAACCTGGTCTATGGGAAACCCACACAGGGGGTTTGGATCTAGATAATCTTTAAGGTCCCTTCCAACCCAAACCTTTCTGTGATTCTCTGATTTCTCTGTGTTAAAAAACGACAGGTTTGGGTTTTGGTGGTTTTTGGTTTGTTTTTTTTTCTATAAAAACACAAAATTAAGACAGTTCTACTGCGTTAAAAAAAAAGACAGACAAGCCTTACTGTCAGTTGAGTGCATGTCTATTGTCATCAGCAAAAGAAACTCTCTGAGGTCCCTTTGAGCAGGTTTCCTTTGGGGTCAGAGAGAGAGAAATCTGCTGCTCGGCGGCTCCTTTCTCCTTCACAGGACAAGGCTTTGAGTGCAAAGGGACCTGGCTGGGAGCCAGGCAGAGTAGTGCTCACCTGTTTGTACTTTTTATTGTCATACAAAAGGAAAAGTCAAGTCAGATGACACGCTTCTTTGTAGTGCAGGTTTCTTGTTTAACCTGTTAGTAGAAAAGAGGAGAATCCTGTCCCCGTTCAGGACTTCATCCTGGGACAGATGGCAGAGTTCCCGAGGCTGCAAGAAGTCACCAGGCATCTGGCTCCTGGTTTCAGGGGTGGGAGGGATTTTATTGGGGTTTTTTTCTTGCAGTGATGTTGGGTGGTTTGTCCAGATGCCTGACCAAACCCAACCCAAGAGCTATACTCAAAGGGAGTCCCTGCTCTCTCGCTAAAAAGCAACGTTTTAAAAAGAGAAACATCACACTGAAGTGAACTAAAAACCACAGCTGGATTGGTGGAACAGGTAGAAAAGGGTTGATCTCAGCAGCAGCATTAGGATGTTTCCAGGAGAAGGTCGATGGCTGTTTCACATCAGGGGTCTTGTGGAGCACCACCACGTGCTGCTCCAGAAAAGGCACTGGGGATGTGGAGGGACCCTCGCGTCGGCTGAATTCCCTTGAGGTCTGTGACGGGGTTCACTGTGCCCTGCAAGAGCTGAGCTGCTAATCACAGTCCTGGATACTGACGTACACAAAGAGGGTGGAGGAGGAGTAGGGGTCTCCGTTCTTGGTCAGCAGGTGGATGTGGCGGTAACCTGGGAGCAGAGACACCAAGTGGCCTTTAGTCCAGCTGGAAAAACGTTTGCTGGCATTCACCAAGACCCTGAAACAACATCTCCCTGTCTCAGAGCATTTTGGGCTCAGAACCCCACAGAACAGGCAGGTCTGTGAGGCTTTTGGTAACAGATGGTGCCACTGGTGACAAGGGGACCCCTTCCCCAGAGCCAGCATCACCAGCTGCCCAAGAAGCCACTCTTCACCTTGCCCATACTCCAGAGAGAGGATCTGTTCTGATCCAAGGTCTGATGGGTCTGGACCTCTTATTTAGGACACTGGAGCTTCCCAGAGGGGTTCATGGGTTGTGAGGAGAAAGGAGCAGGGCCTTACCTTGCTTCAGGCTGGTGAAGGGAAGGGTGTACTGCCCGATGAAGTCGTTTTTGGTTGACATATCAAAGTCTTCCACCCAAGGTCTGATGGGTCTGGACCTCTTATTGAGGACACTGGAGCTTCCCAGAGGGCTCAGGCGTTGTGAGGAGCAGGGAGCAGGGCCTTACCTTGCTTCAGGCTGGTGAAGGGAAGGGTGTACTGCCCAATGAAGTCGTTTTTGGTTGACATATCAAAGTCTTCCACCACAAACCGGACCAGGGCCAGTGCAGGGATCTCTATGTCAAATGTAAACTCTTCGTCCCACTTCGGGTTAAAGCCTGGGCAACACGGGCAAGGATGGAGGTTAGAGCTGCTCACCAACAAGGATGGAGGTCACAGATGCTGGCAGGTAAGGTCAGCACTCAGAGATGCTAACAAATGGAAGGTGACTTTGCCTGACTGCCAACCTAACCTACCCAGGGTGCCAAGATCATTGCTCCCAGCTCTGACACTGATTTGCTCCCTGACATTAACAAACCCCTCAGCTTAAGCTGCTCGTTGCAGACCTCAGCCCCACGGTCCCAGAAGGCAGCAAGGAGCAGCAGGGAGGTGAACTCAGCTCTGCTCCACAAGCCCTGGCTGGCTGAGACATGGATGTCTCTGGTTGCAAAATCTGACCACCCTAAACCAGGGGAGAGCAAAGGGGAGAGCTGTGCCTTTGTGTTGTGACCACCTTCTGGGGCTTGAAGCCTCGAGTGCTCCAGGCACACCCAACCATCACCATTCCGTGCCTCAGTTTCCCTGTCTGCAAGGAAGGTTAATGAGGAGCATCAGATTACAAAAAGCATCATCAAGTCTGTGAAAAAGTGTCATATCTCCTTGTGTAAGGGCAGGGTCTGAGAAAGCCAGACTAGTCCTGCTTCTGTTACGGATAAGGATCTTGTGATCTGAACTCACAGAGCAAACACATCAGAGGAGGGATGATGAGCCAGCTCAGTGCTCTCTCTCCAGGCTGCTGGGAGCTCTCTGCAGTTTCAATAAACCACTCCCCAGAAACAAACAGGAGGAGAGGACGTTCTGTTTGCAACCCTGCTGCAAACAGGCCCAGCCTGTGCAGAGCAGAAACCTAAGGACAGCAGAAGATCAGCTGAAGCCTGCTGGTCACGAAGGGTCTGAGGACAATTTGTCAGGAGCCAGGGACCTTTCAGCTGGCCTTGAAGGTGCTGAGATGGGCCTGTGGACAGTGACACAGCAAAACACCTGTGCTGGGTTGGTGCATTTTATTTGGACTTTCATAGGATAAAATCAGCTGCACTGTTCTGATAACCCACATCTGCTCCTGACCCTCTTCAACCTTGGGGAAAAAAAACCCAAAACAACAGGGTTGCTGATCCCATGGGAGCAGAAATCATGAAAGCTGAGGGGAAAGTCATCAGCCCTAGGACACTCAGCTTTACTGTTCTGACTGTGGGGGATTTTCAACCCACCTCAGAGCCATAGCAAGATGCTCAGAGCTGCAGAGCCAGCAGGTTCCCATGGCCTCTCCAGCTCCACAGCTGCACTGCTGGGACCAGGTCTGTGCTCACAGCCCCTGCTTCAGTCCCACCAACACAGACTCATGGAATCATTTAGGTTGGAAAAGACCTTTAAAGTGACTGAGTCCAACCATAAAGCATCAAACCAGGGGAGCTGTTGAAGCATGGTCACACACCTGAAACTACAGCCCATGAAATGGAACTGCTCTCCACTCTGCAGCTGCCCCTTTCCAGCACTGATGTTTGCATTGCTTCATTCCCTTTCCATTGGGCAACACTCCCTCCAGAATCCTTTCAGTATCACTCCAGTATCCCTCCATCCAGTCAAGGGCTGGTGGTGGGGCAGGGTGTGCTGAGCAGCCCTGAGGAACAGGCCTGGCAGGTCTGAAATATTCCCTGAACAGCTTTCACTGGAGACACTATAAAAATCATTGCAGGTTACAGAAATGGCCATGAGCCTTGGGAGCTGGGCCAGATTTACTCAAACAGGAAAAAGGAAGAGAGAAATAATTGTTAGCAGGGAGGAAATTCTGCACTGGCTTCCCAGCACTTGGGTCTTACTGCACACAGCAAAGCTGTGTGTGTTTGTGTGTACCCGTGTGTGTGACTCCTACTACCTCATTGCTCCCACAGGAGAGAGGGATGAACTTGACCTCTAAAGCTCAGAAGGCCACAATATTCATATCCCCATTGCAGGGGGGGAAATCACAGCCACGTTTGACTCCTGAGAAATGGTCCACAGGGAGCTGAAATGCCTGTGAGGTGTCTGGGGTCTGAAAAGACAAGCAGATGCAGTGTCCCTGCCTTGTGAGGAGGCTCTGAGCTGCAGGAAATGTTCTCCTTTTGCACAGACTCAGTTACATACAAGAAGAGGTTGAGAGATGTCAAGATATCCAAGGATAAGGGGGTTATTGTTGCCATCTACCACTACCTCCTTATGGAGAAGGCAGAGCCAAGCTCTTCTTACAGCTGCACAGCAAAAGCACGATGCATGATGGGCACAAACTGCAACAGGGGGATTTCTGGTTAAGAATAGGGATCTCTCACTTTCTCACGAGGTCAGTCAAAGCTTGGATCACTGGAGACACCCCAGAAAGTCTGGGAAAATCTCCATCTTTCGAGATATTAAAAACTCATCTGGGGAACACTTCGTGCAACTTGAGTTAACTTTGAGTATGGTCTTGTTTTGGGAACAGGCACCTCCTAAGTCCCTTGCAACCTCAGTCTTTTGTGAGTTTGTGACAGTGTCAGAACACAATCAGCCTCACAAGAAGCCTTCTCTGGGAAGATCTTGGTGGAGACCCACTCATTCCAGGTCAAGTCCAACTGCATGGAGGTAAAGAGCACCTGCAAAGTTCTAGCACTGCAGATTTGGCAGGTTTGGCCTCAAAACAACTCATATGCTGATGGAATTTTGCAGGGAATTTCTGCCTCTGAACACCCTAGAGAAAGAAGAGGGGGAAGAACCCCTGAATGTGATTCTTTAGAGGAACATCAGTCTGTGGGGCCAGTTCATGACAACAGCAGTCTATGACCAGGGTCCCTGCACTGCAGTTGCCAACAGCACCTTCTGCACCTGCTCAGCATGGCAGGCTTGGGTGCACACGGGCAGATCAGGGCACAGGCAGCAGCCTTGGCAAGGAACACTCTGCTCCATGAAACCAAGGGGTTCTTGCCCCCATGGGAGCACAGCACAGAAGAAAAAAACCCTTACCATTGTTCTCAATGACTTTGGTCTGCTTCTTGTTGTTATCCTGCTGGACACCATGGATCTCTATCGTTACCTTAGGATCAACAATGGAGTTTTTGCTTTTGTTCACCTTGGGCAGCTGCTGACCAGAGATGATCTGTGGAGGAAACAAAGGAGTCACAGAATCACAGAAAGGTTTGGGCTGGAAGGGACCTTAAAGAAAATCTAGATCCAACCCTCCTGCATGGGCAGGGACACCTCCCACTAGACCAGGTTGCTCAGAGCCCCATCTGACCTGCCCTTGAATGGGGCTTCCACAGCTTCCCTGGGCAACCTGTCGCAGTGTCTCACCACCCTCACAGTGAAGAATTTCCTCCCAATATCAATGTGTTTGTTTTTCCCTATTACATCTTTCCTTCATCTTGTTCAAGAGGTTAGGACATCACTGGAGGGGGCTCCCTGGCAAGCATCCCCCTCCTTCTCCAGGAGTGCAGGACCTGCTGTGACAAGCTGGGACATCCTTCAGAGGAAGCTGTCATGAGCCAAAGCACCTCCTGAACATTGTTGCAGCCCAGCCAGCTGGCTAAGGGGGCTGCCAACTTTTAGACTTGTCCCCAATGAGAAGATGATACTTGGAAAACAACAGTGGTGACTGTGTGACTGCCATGTCATTTCTATCACAACAGTGGATGTTGTCATTGACCTCTGCTGAACATTTCATGTGTGACTAAGCCCCTGGAGGATGAGATTCCATGCAGGACTAAAGCAGAGGCCCCCATGGTGGAAAATGAGTAAGGTTAGGATAACACTGCCCAGGTGGGACCAGGAGAAGGAGAAGGTACAACCTACATGCCCCCCTGAAGGTGGATGCTACTGAGACATTTTTCCAACTTCTATTCTTACTTTAAGCAGAAGCTTCTTCTTTGTCCCCCATGTTCCTTCTGTGATGGATTTTGGATTGAATTTGGTTTGCTCATCCCGGAGGAATTCCGGCTTTAAGACATACCCAGAAAACCCATTGTCCTGGAACCGACCCTGGTAGACATCCATTTCTGTGCCTGCTGTCTGGAAATTTAGGGCAACTGCAATGCAAAATAAATAAACAAGTCAGTCACTTCCAGATAAATCAGTGGGAGCATTTTCGTACTCCTTCTGTTCGCACAAAACTGCATTTTATGGACATAAACACTGGCTTTTCCATGTTTCAAAGAGCAGTGATAAACTATGACCTTCATAGTCTGTTACCCTGAGGTTTTCCTGCATTCAGAGATGTCAGGGGCAGGAGGAGCCTTCACAGACACCTCAGTTGTCCTCCTTCCTGCCACAGAGTCAAAACGTGTCCTGCACTGAATTTCCCCCCCATTGCCCAACTGCATCTTTGAGATAAACCTACTCATTTCAGTGCTGGAGGAGCTCTCTCCTGCAATGAAGCCAGCAAATCCTTCTCAGATTTACTCTTCTCTAGCCTTGTTATAAAATCTCCTTTCTAGTCCAGATGTGCCTATTTTCCTTTTCCATCATGAGGGGCATTGGTGCCTCTGTTGGTTGCACTAGAGAGCTCCTCCCTGCCTGAACTCCTCATGCAGGAGTCCAGAACCTGTGACCAAATCACCTCTTTATTGTCCCCCACCCAAAAGAGATCAAGCCTCACTGGTGTCCCAACATCAGGCAGATTGCTTGTATTCTTTCCAACTTGCCACTCTCTTTTTTTAAAGCATTAGTGTCAAATTTGGAAGCCCAGGCAGATTGCCTGTATTCTTTCCAACTTGCCACTCTTTTTTAAAGCATTAGTGTCAAATTTGGAAGCACTACCTGTGAACAGTCTCACTAATACCACACAAGGAGGGCACATGGACCCCAGCACCTCCTCAGCCCTCCACTGATTTCTCAAGGGTGGTGCTAACCTCTCTAGCAACCTCTAAGACAGCTCTAGGACAGATGGCAATTTAGCCTGGTCCTGGATCCTACATATCCTGCAATACTTTAAGGCCAGAAGCATTTTAAGGCACTCTCCTGTTTTTCTACCTGCAAGCAAGACTTTAATAACTGCAATATACTGGTTTTACTGGGAGCTGCAAGTACTCAGGTCTACTGTAAAATCTTCTTTTGGGTGTCTAAATACTGAACTCATGCCAGATAAGGCATGCAGGTCTGGCCTTACTGTACCCCAAGGGACCCGATGTTGCCTCCCAAGGACTTCCCTGCCTTCACATTTCTCCTGACTCAGTGCTGTGGAGACAGGTCCATGGGTGCTACTTGTGCCCCCCACAGAGGCTTCAGCCCCCAGTGAGCTGATGTGCTGCCAGGGGGCCCTGCAGCTGCAGCTTCTCTTGTTCATCTGGGCCATAAAGGCACAACTGGGATATCTCCAACATCCAGCATCACCACAAGAGCCAAGGATGCCACGACCAACCTGCCCACTTAGCATTGCACTAGCTACAACAGAACTCACTTAACAGGCTCTGGAACCCTTGTTTTCAAGAATCTCTGAGCTATCAGTAGTGCAAGGGTCTAAACACCCTGGGACTAGGTACAATGGGCTGCTTTGACTACAGGGAACAGGTCAGGCCACAGCTTGGCCCTTATGGTTATGGCCTTGCTTTAGGGCTTGAGGGATCAGAGTTTGATTTCCATCTCTGCCAGAGATTCCTGCACACTTTTCAGTCAGTGACTTCAACCCCAGGCTCCCTCCTCCTTTGTTAAACAGCAATAACTCTGCTTCCAGTGACACTGCAGAGATGTGCATGTTAACAGGCCAGGAAAGTCTCTCCTGATGGTTCTGAGACGGGCCAGGAACTGGCCCATGAAAAGTCACTGAGCATTAAACTGAAGAGCTGGTCCCTCCCAGTGACCACTGAGCCTGCCTGCAAATGGCTGGAGATGGCACATCTACCACAGCTGAAGCCCTGTCACAGCTGGGTCATAGCTAGCCTGGCCAGGTTGACCCTCTCCAACCTCCCAGTTGCACCCACCAATCTGGCAGCCGACGTTCCACAAGTCGATGGGGTTGTAGTTGGAAGAATCTGTCCTCCAGCCTGCAGGGTAGATCCGGCTCAGGTGCCTGATGTTGTGATGAATAAAATTGGTGGCTACATTAAAAATAAAAATTAAAAAAAAATAAGAAAAATAAGGAAACTGCCCTTTCAGTGATGGGGGCTACTTTTATCTCTTCTTTGTGCATCTCTCTTGTCAACTAGCAGCATAAAATGCCTTTCTTGGTAACAGCCTCTGTGATATCATTATTCCCACTGCTTCTCAGTGGGAGAAAGAGATCATAACCAACATCTTTCAGGATGCTTTTTCCTTGTGCTTAACTACCTCCAGCTGTCCCTCTCTGGGGCCTGGGGCAGAGGATGGCCTTTTGCCAGGGCAGAACATACACACCTGACTCCTGGGCTAGTTTCAGAGCTTTGCTCTCCGTGAACGACGACATCTCGTAGAAAGCCCGAGGGTGATTGGGGTCCTCAAAGCCACCAAAATGGACACTCTTGCAGTAGACAACTGTGTCTGACAGCTCCTTGGCCAGCTTCAAGGTGTCACTCTAAATGTAGGAAAGCAAGAAGTTTGTAGGGAGTTTCTGCAGTCACAGTCAATAATCACGTTCTGTCCAGGAGCCCTGGAGCTTCTCTTCCCCAGCATCTTCAGATGCAAAGGATGCACACTATCAACACTCAGTGGCTGCCCTGTGCAGATGGAGGATGGAAAAGGGGCAGAGTGTCCTTGCCATGTCCTTGGCCTTGCATCCCTCATCTCAGAGCATCACTACCCACTCAGGCCCATCCCAGCCTGTCCACTGATATCCCTGACTTCCAAAATGTTACTACCAAAAATATTACATTTCCTCTGTGCTGTCTCTCCTTCTGCATTTATTTGCATGTTGTTACATGAATAAGTATTTCACCTTGGCTACCACAGCTCACAGCTGATCAGGGCTACACACAAAGGAACAACCCAATCAGCCTGTATTGGTGAGCTAGGAGAGGATTCCACACAACAGATGCTTTGCTGTCCTAGCACCCTTGTTTCCTGATGTTCTGCAGAGAGATTCTCTCTTTGTTGGTCTGTTTGTCCTGCTGCCCCCTGCATGATCTCTTGTATTTCAGCATCAGTGGTTGTCTCCAGTTGCTAAAACTTTACAACAGAGCCTTAGCAATGTGTTTTCCATCCTGTCCTGCTCTCAAGCATGCAAACCTGGGAATATGGGGAAAGGAAGGATGTTTTGGCCTCCAAAGAGCTTGGGATTCTTTCCCTGGAACTAGGAAGCTAGCACAATGCTTTGGTGCCTCCTACTCCTCAGCCACATTCATTGGTACAAGGGTGAAGTGAGAGCCACCAGCTCCCATCAGAGGCAAGAAAAGAAAATACAGACTTCAGAATTATACCCAGTATTGACTACAGTTCAGAGAAAGAAATAAGACCCTCAAAAAGTGAGCAAATCAGCAAGGGGAAGCACAGATCAGACCAGATCCAGAGGCAACATCAATCAGCTTTGCCATCAGTGGGACTGAGTGTATTTATATTATCCATGAACCTGGTTTGTAAGGGATATGGTCTCCACAATGTCCTCACATGAGGGAATAAAATCACTGGTGTAAAGACCAGCCTTTTCCTCCCAGAAACAGCCATCCCACATGCTTTGGTAACCAGCCACTTTTTCCCTATAGATCTGTAGCTTTTCTCTCCCTCTTCTAGGTCAGAAAAACACGGCCAGTGAGGGTGCAGGTAAGTCCCAAAATGTGACTAAATGTGACCAGTCTCTGCTAACAACCAAACTCATGATGGTCCCATGAAAAAGAGATGTTTGGAAATCAGAGAGAGATAGACAGTAAGTGCTACATGGCCTGTCCCAGCTGTGGGGCTCTCCAGCTTCATTTTAAGGAGAGAAGACAACCTTCATGTTGGCTGGCTCCCCAAGGCCTCTGTTTGTGCTGGGGATAGAGATTATTAAGCTGAGCAAGGAACAGGATCCTCAGCCTCAGTGAATTTAGCAATTCACCCTTCCATATCTCCAGCTGAGTAGCTGAAAACACACTGAAAATTGTCTTAGCTGGGAATATATTAAAGTATATTTCAAATGCTTTTTTTAGTATTTTTTTTGCATGGCACAAAGCCCACCTAGCAGGTGATTCCCCACCATGAGTCATGGGATACCCTGAAGCAGGACTTCAGAGCCTTCTACACTAGGCAAACATCTAGTTAATAGCTTTTCTGCCTCTCCAGCTCTGCCCTTTTTCTCAGTTACTTCTTTTCCTTACCTTCCCCTTTTGCTGAATCTCAGTCTTTACAGATTCATCTTCGATTTCAGCTGCTTCATCTTCATCAGAGACATCCTCAGCCTCCAGGTTGTTGTTCCCATTAGTGGGGTCCTCCTGCCTGCTCAGCTTCTTGCCTTTCACAAGGATCTTCCCTTTCAATTGCTGCAGAAGGAAAAGAGCTGGGAGTGAGAAAATATTCTGGCCTGCCCTGAAGGAGCAAGGATACAACAGCTGCAACCAGAGCCCTTTACAGTTGCATCAGTCACTGGTTATTATCAATAGATACACATAAAAAAATAAGTCTGCTTGTCCACTGAGGCCTTGCCCTGCCTCTGGCCAGTTTCTGAGACCATAGGCCATGTATCTGAAGCCCCCAAATATCCCCAGCCTCCTCTCTGATACAGAACTGTTCATCCTCTTAATTAGATAACCTAAATGCTCCTGCTGTTAAAAGCAATCCTTTTTTTAAAATTATTATTATTATTTTTTAATTTTTTTCAAAACTGAATGTGGATCAGCAAACCATGGCTCATGGAAGCCATTCACAGCACAGTTTCTGCCCCTCTGTGTGGCCCTGTTATTTAATCTACCCCAGTCTCTGCAATGTATGGTTAGAAACACACCCAACATCTGGGAAACAGTCCCAGATCCATGCTGGGGCTGTGCAGCCCTCTGCTCTGCCAGGCATTTTAATGGGGAGAGAGGTCCATTAATTTCTGGACAGGTGCCTTGTGCACCCAGAAATGGGATTTTAATATGTAGGGATCTTGCAGGTGAAATCTTTGGGTGTTGGCAGCCTAAGGAAGAGTTCCCCAGACCCCTTCCAAAGATTCCTCCTCTTCTGAAAAGAACTCATGCTGCAACTGCCACCACAGGACAACACTAACAACCAGCAGCACGTGCCAACGGAACAGCTTCTTGCTGAGCTAATCCAAGGAGCACATCTCTTGTCCTGAATCAGCTCTCTCCAGCCTCTTACAAGGGCCACACAAAAACCTCAGGAGAAGGAACACACCAGCAGTCCAGCACACCACTGATGTGTCTCCTGTGCAAGATCTGACTGAGGGAGGAAGGCTGGAGCCTGGAGGGGGCTGACTCTGAACCCAAGCAAGGCAGCAGCAATGTTGGCAGCAGGGAGAGTACTGAGAGGGGTGACTGCCTGGGAGCAACCTCCAAGTGAGCAGATGATGCTACAAAATCCATTCATTCAGCCCAGGAGGACCCCTGGATCCTGCAGCTTCCAGTGAAGTCAGGGGGAGATTTTCAGCCACCTGTGCTCAGCAGTCCTGGCTTTGGAGGGTGCTACTTCAGAAAAATGCAACCTCAGAACTAACCAAAACAACCCCTCACTGAGTAGAACATCTCCCCCAGCTCAGTCACACTCTGTATTTGCCCTTTCCACAACAGCAAAAGCAACGTTCTCAGCTGGCAGGATTGTGGAAAACCAAGGGTATCTTATAAAGCAACACAGGCATTTTCAAAGAACACTATGACCCTCTTTGAGGGTGCAAGCAAATTGCAGCATGTCTTTCCAGAGACCAGCCCAGCTCCTCAGTGCTCAGCTAAGCTGTGGATGAAGCTTGGTTTGAGCTGAAAGTTGCTGCTGGCACCCGAGGAAACAGCCAAGAGCATTTTTTTTCTCCAGCTACCACAAATGATGTTTTTACACAGGGGCACTTTCCCTGCCACTCAAAATCCACACAAAGGCAGCTGGAAGGAATGGACCAGTTAACAGGAATAAAAGGCCCAAAGGAGCAGTCAGAGCACAGCAGTGTCATCCTGCCAGTCCCCAGACCATCCTCCCAGCCTGAGCTGGGACCTGCTTATTCCCACCCGTGGCTGGGAGATGAGTCGCCTCGTGTCAGAGTCTCCCTTCACCCTGCTGCTCTCTAACCACCCTCCTGCTCTCAGCATCCAGCTCTTCCCTGTCCTTCCACAACACCCACTGCTAGAAGGTGAAATGCAACTCTGTGTAAGCTTCTGTGCTCCTCTCAGGACTCAGAAGGGACAAGCCTGGAGAGATTGCACTGGGGAGGGGAGCAGAGAAGTCTCTCTTGTCCTTCCCAGGCTGCAGGAAGCATCCTGCTAGAGAATATATCATCTGTCTCTGCTTTCCAGCATCCCATAAGAAACCTCACTGCCTCATCTCACAGCTCAGCAGCTGAGAAGCAGAGATAAGGTATTTTGGGCAGGCTGCTTGAGTATCTTTTTAAGCTTGTCCAGTTCAGGACAAGCTGTGCAGCAGGAGGAGTGATTCCTGCCACAGATCCATCCTAGATGGCTGGATAACATCAGCAGTGAAGGCACAGCAACACGGCCTCCACCTTTCCTCCTCACCACACACCATTCCAAAGCTGCCAGCAGTGGGTCCTCAGCCCTGCTGTTATCCTGCCTACATTGTGGTTACACTGGGAAACCTTGGCTATGCTGCACGTGGTCACCACGGGCACAGGGGCTGCTCAGCCCAGGCTGTTACACAAGACTCTCTGTAGGGAGATGATGGTGGCTCCCTTTTGGCCTTGGAATCTAAGAAGCTGACTCCTTTCTGGAGTCCTGGTGCATGGCAGAGGTTTAGCATCCCCCTGTGCAGGTGACTTCCCCCATGCCTACAAGGGAGAGCAGCCCATGTGCCACTTAACTCCAGAGGAGATGCATTTGCTTATTGATCCACAACGAGGATGAGATTCACCCCAAACCAGAGCATTTTCACCTCCATTTCCTGCTGTTCTGTAATAGCATTGTCCTGAAACCACCCTGCAGAAGCGGCCAGTCCCAAACGTTGTCCTCCTTCATTTAACACGGGTGCTAGGAAGACCAACATTTGAGTGCTTATTTTCTTCATCAAGGTTTTAATTAAGCTGATGCACACAGACATGAACACACACACACACTTTTCCCATCTCTTTCTTCCCCTTCATGTGATATTAAGTATTTCTAGCCTGAGGCAAAAGACATTCAGCTCATCAGTTCTGCTCTGCTGAGCAGATCCCTGTCTTAGGAAGAAGCATTAGCTAAGATACTCAATAAATATTCTCCAAGTAGACCATAAAGCTGTTCCAGCTGCCTGTAGCAAATCCAAGGTTGAATACAACCTACAAAAAGGGAGAAGGCTACAAGGACACTGGACTCTACTGAGAACATATAATGGAGTGGCTGCTGGAATAGATGCAGCTCTTTCCTTTCCTCACACGCCCTGTAAATTGCCTTAGCTCTCCACATGTGGAGCTGGCCTGTTCTCCCACCTTTTCCACTGCACTCTGATCAAGCTCAGCTCTGCAAATGAACTGGTTCTGACACACAGCTTTGCTTTCTTTGGGAGTCTATGAACTGGGACACAGCAACCACCTTAAAACAAAAGCTGTTGATTTTATCGGAGGGAGCAAAGCTGCAAAGGGCAGAGGATTTTACAAGATGTGCATACACATCTATCCTACCTGAAAGTTTCTTGCCCCTGTTAGCAACATGAAAGCCATGATGACAAGGTCTGATTTCCAGTTTTCATCTCAGTGGGAATGGAGCATTTGAAAAGTGCTCCACCTCATCAACTTTTCTGCTCCTTCAACGCCTCCTTTAGAGTCAACAGAGAGAACTAAACACTCCCAAGGGTGTGATTCCTCTTGTCTATTTGGACAAACACTTATGAGGAGGTGGACCACACCTCAAACTCCCCTGGCTGTATTAACTAGTTCTCAAAAAAGAGCCTAAAGTGAAGTGCTCACCTACAAGGACACAGTTTCAGCTCTGCCACCTTCCATCCTGCTCTCAGGATGAAGATACCCATCTCCCCAGCTTTCTGAGAAGCTGTGGGGATCAACATGTTCACCTCCATAAGGAGATGTGCAGCCCAGATGCACTAACTGCTATCACACCTGTGTGTCTTTCAGCCCAGGTGTGAACTGGAGGGTTTAACAGTGGGTGAAGGCACCAGAGAGGATGGAGGAGTCTCCAGAAAAGGGGGAGATGAGTATTATCTAAGGAGGCTTTGAGAGATTTGAAGGAAACTCAGCTCAAGAGCTTCAGCTGATAAGATGCACTGCAGGTAAGGGTGGCACAAGCTGGGCTAACCTTGGAGAAAGGCACAGAGGTGGAGTCAGGCATAAGGCAGAGGGACTTGGAGCCACATCCATGCTGAGTGTATGATGCAAAATCAGCCCTCCCAGGCAGACAGCTCCCAGGGCCTGCTGCTGACTTAGAGACCTGTGGCTGAATCTGGTCTGGACTTAGCTGAGACAGCTCTGGAAGTGTTTGCTGCCTTGCCCTGAGCACAGGGAGGGCAGAGCAGGGCAGCAACCCTGCTGCTCCCACTGCTGTGCTGAGCCCAGCTGTGGCTCTGCTGGCACTGGAGGAGGTTCCTGATCTCAAAGGGATGTCAGATGGGGGGACTGGACACAGCACTGGATGTGACTGATGGGACAGTGGAGGTGCAGGGTAGCAGAGACCCCTGCCACTGCACTGGAGCTCCCAACATGGTCCTAAGGGTCTCCCACCAAGACAGGACTGTTAGTCCATTGTGAACAGGGGAGTCCAGTAATAAAGAGTTGAAGGGGTTTCAGAAATACCTGATCCACTAAATAGTTGCATGCACCTTTGGCAGCTGTTTTAGTCTCATTCCAGGGCTGGATTTTGGTGGGATGCAGGGAGAGGGGCAAGGGGAGCTGGCAGACCCCTGTGCAGATGAGGGACGGGGCAGAAAGGCCTGCCACAGGCAACCAGCAGCAGAGACTGGAGAAGCTCTTCTCTACAACCCTGGCACCCCCTGGAGCTTTTATGTGGCTTTTGGCCTTCCTTCCTACAGGCCTTTAGTTTACTATTGGAACCTAAAGACAGCAGCTTGAGGGAGTTATTTAGGTGTTCTGTGTAGGCCAACACTGCTCCTGAATGGAGCCTAATAAATCAGAAGCCTGCCCTTTGCTGTGGGATGAGTTGTTAGCATGGATCTAAGCTGTGATTACCTTCCTTTAATTATGGACACTGCCCTGCTAACACAACCTGCAGCAGTGCTTTGCCTGGTTTTATTTACAACCCTCTCTCCAGTGACATATTCCACCTTTTTTCTACTACAAAATACAGTATGTTGTCCCAGGCTTCCCCATGCCAGCTTCACAAGGAAGTGGAAAATCCAAGAGGTTTCTGTTGGTTTTCTTTATCTCCCTCAGTGTCTGAGCTTCAATGTGTTTTCCACCAAAAAAATCAGCAGTTCAGCCCTTTGCATTCTCCTAGTTCACACAGCAGGAAGGCAGCAGAAAAGCACCCAGAGGGAAAAGGACAAGTTTTGCTACATTAGCAATTTTCCTCCCTTTTAGCTTAAGGGATCACTCCCTCCAATGAAGCATATCAGCCCAAATCCATTCTCTAAGGTAGATCTGGGCTGTTTGTTCCAGCTGGGGCCACGTGTCCATCTGGGCAACCAGAGCCTGAGGTTAGATGAACACAAGAATGGGAAAAACATCTTTGGGAAGCTGGGGTCATTCCCTCACACTCACATCATGGATTTCTTTTCCTGGTGTTTCTCCTTTCTTCCTTCATATCATTCCTCTAGTCACAAGGCAGCATTTTTGAAAAGCCATCAGCAGCTTTCCTGATCCTGCACCAGGGATAAATAGCAAGCCAGGAGGTGACACTGAAGACTTGGATTTTTCCACCTCAATAACAGCCTGCAGAGACCTGTCTCCATGCTGGGTGTATCCTCACCCTGGGAGAGCCACTTATTGCATGGAGGCAGGTTGTCTGTGCCAGTGCAAAGGTCCTCCTGAAGCAGCAGCTTTAAAAATCATGATTCATCCTGATTTATTGCCCTGGTGCTTAGGGACTAACCCAGATCAGCTCCCCTCTGTCCTAGGCATTGTATCAAGCAAGGCACAGCACTCCCAAACCAAAGGGAAAAGTCAGGGAGGGAAAAGACAAAAAAGGAGAGGGAGAACAAACACAGAAGGTATTTTTGGGTGGATCATTTTCCTCTCCTTTCTCCCCTGCTGACTGCCAGCTTTATCCCACTCACTAACTCCTTCCAGCTCTGGCTAGGCATGCTCATCCAATTTTTGGCAAATGATTTCTCTAGCAAAGAAATGCAACTTAAAGGGGACTGCAGCTATCCACCCAGAAGTCTGCTTAAGAGAAAAGAAGCAAAGAAAATACAAACCCAAAGGGTGGCAACAGATGAATTTTGGCTTCTGGTTTGGAAACAGTTTTTCCTTTTCTGATATCAAGATTCCATTTCTAATGTTTTCTAATTGTCAGCTAATTATTTTATAGTGGCAGCCCACTCTGGAGGGCTGTGTATCTCCTTCCTCCTGAAGGGTCCAAGCTCAGCTCCCAGCTCCACAGCTGCCCTGATTCATGGGAATTGAAGGGTCATCTCTTGTCCTCCATGGACATCCCCATCCCCACCACCCCAGGTCATTCTCAGTGGGAGGACATTTTGTGTTTGGCAGAGGTTTAGGCTACCTGTACTGGTTTTCCCCTTCAGTTTTGAGGGGCAAACAAACACAGCTCTCCTTCCAGTCCTCATCACTTCCTAATCAACTGCCTGGATCTCCACAGGAGAGCACCCGAAGCATTCAAGGAGGAGGGGAGCACATACTACATCCCTTGGAGCAAAACATCTCACCTACCATGAAATGAGGCAGTGCCCAGTCTTGCTGGATTACAGACACAGAGACACCTTGTAGTCACTCCCTGTGGTGCTCACCTTCCCTGCATGTGCAGCAGCCCAACTGTGCTTCAGAGGATTAGCCTAAAGGGCATATTCAGCTTTGGGGTATGAGCAGCAGGCACAAGACAGACCCTCAGGTTTCAGCTCCTCTGGGACAAGCCAGAAAAGCAACCTCCTCATGGGATGAAGGACATTCCCTAGAGTTGGTAAAAGGATCAGGAATGTCCACGGTGCTTCAGGGATGTCTCCTCTTAGACCCGAGACAACAAGGACCAACAGGGCTTTTTGCACTCGAGCTGCACAGGCTACTTCTAGATACTCCTATTCCTTATTCCACCACTGCCCACAGGCAACCCCTGCTCCTCAGCAAGTACAAGTCACATCAGTCCTCAGGCATATTGTCCACACCTTGGCACCCAGCAAGAAGACAGCTCTCTCTCTTTTCCCACCCTCAGGAGGCAGAAAGTGCTAAGAGTGGCCCTGCTTACCTCTGGGGAGGGGAACTGGGATTTGTTTCCATCAACTGGGGCAACCAAGAGCATGTCCTGTAGGATGGTGGTCATGTGCTGAGCCATGACCTTCTGCTGGTCGACACTGCAGTGGTTCTCCAGGGAGATGATGACAGGGTATGGTGAGGTCTAGGAGAGGACAGCAACATAAATCATCAGTGAACTCTGCATTTGTTAAAAATGGACAAATTTAGCTGTGCAGTAGCTACTCAGCTCTCTGCTGATGCCATCCACAGGGCACCAGGCTGGGTCAGGATGCCTCCCACAGGCTTGCTGGGACACTCTGAGAAGGTTCCCTGTGTCTCCATTCTCCACTGGCTCTGTGGGTCAGAGCACCTTCCTACCTCAGACTGGGAAGGGAAGCTTTGAAATCACTGGGTTGGCTCAAATCCTTAGGGGACAGGAATCCTCCCTCCATTTGTGCACAGGTCTGATGGGATTCCCTGTGTCCCCCCCAGTGATTTTATGTGCTGAAGGGATTGTCATGACCACAGCTTTGCAGCCCCAAGGGACACTTGGCACTCGCTCCCAAGTGCACTGAAGGAAAAGAGCAGAAAGCCCAGTGAGCCTGGACAGACCCAAGGTTTGCTAAGGGCTGCTGGCCCAGCACTGCTGTACAAGAGTCCAGACCTTCTCATGCCCTCTGAAGCAGAGTAGAACAAGTCCTCTGCATCACTCCCTCCACAGCACATGCATAAGGGCTCCTCTAAACCAGGAGCAGACCCTGACACATCAAAGCCACACAAATTCATGGCTTGTTTGCATTTCCCTGTGCTCCAGGTATTAGCCATTTTCATTGCAGAGGGGTCCAGGATGCAGCTGTGCTGGTAGAGATTCAAACTCCTCCTCAGACAGTGCTCTGCCTGCCTAGCAATTCCCAGAGTGGATCTCTGCAGAAAGCAGAACAGGGATGCCCAGCCAGAAGGACACATCTTGTACCCATGAGAAATGCTACGGTGAAGTCTTCATCCTTTATGCTCTTTGTGAAGAGAGCAGAGACCAGCTACCAGTCTTGGACTGTGTGCCATGAGAAATCTCAGGGGGTCCCTCATCCTTACTTGGAAAGCATAGTTCTTGATGGCCTTAATGGCATCACTGAAGAGGATCTTGGAGGTGAGAGTGTAGCCATGATAGATGACGGGCTCCGAGTTGGGGCCATCCCAGCAATCCAGTTCCACGCAGCGGCAGCCTTTGGTGAGGGCTCTGGAAACAAAGAAGGGACCTGGTTGGGTTCTAAACCTTCTGCTTTATCTCTAAATGAGGGTGCATCAGGCACAAGTATTGCCTGGGAAGGCTGAGGGGAAATTTAGGGAGCAAGGGAGAAAAGGAGAGCTTGGAAAAACAGGAAAGCAGATGGAGAAAGGATGGGAACGTGTGAGCTCAGAGGCAGCAAAGAGAGCTCGAGGATGAGCAAGGAAAGCACAGAAGGATCTGAGAAAGGAGGGAGTGAAAGTCCAAGGTAAGAATTATCCAAAGAAGAAGACACAGTGAGTGCCAGATGAGACAGGACTCTCATGACTGTGTCCCAGGTCTTTTCCCACAGATGGTAAAGAGAAAAGAAAGTCAGGAGTGGCTGCATTGGAAGAAAGATGGTAAGAAAGTCAGCCTCAGAAGCCAGGTCATGAAGCCTGGATGATGAGTCGTCTTCATCTAAATCTGCTAAGACATAAGAGATGAATCCTCAGAGCTGTCAGGAAGGAGCTGTGGGAACTCCCCCAGAGCTGGGGAGACTGCTGAGGGCCAGTTTCCCAGACTGAAGTTCCACTTGAAACTCCCACCTCTACATATCTTACCTGTCTAGGAGGTGATCTTGCTTTTTTTACTGTAACTCCCCCTGCATTTCAGATAACACAACTCCTTTAAATCATTGCAATAAGAATTGTGGGATTTCTTTATTATTATTTTTTCCAACCAAAACATAATACTGCCATTTTAAGAGGCTATAAGAGGAATTCAAACAGCTACTGAAAAGCCAGATTTCACTCTCTACTCTTTGGAGCTTGTGACTCAGCCAGCCATTGTTCCTTGAGAATCAGATAAGTAACAAACAAAGACAGAATTGCAGCCATTGGCTGGCTTAGAAGGAAATGCTGGCTCACTTGATAAAAGTACAGGTCACAGGAGAAGTACTGAGAGGTGGTTGTGCAAGTTAGTAAAGGCCACTGCAAACATCTGGCCACAAGCTGTTCAAAGTAGAAGTAGACAACTCCTACTGTTCTGTCCAGGGATACTGTGGAAGCATCTGAGCTGCTAAAGAGGGACCAGGCCTACATTTCCTGATCACCTAAACTGCTTCATCAGCTCACATCCCCACCTCTTTTTTTGGACCACTCCAACTAGGTCTCTCCTAAACAAACCCCAGCATGGTTCTAGGGACAGTCCATGCCAAGGGCTCCCCCCAAAAGCAGTACAGGTTGTAAACATCAGGTCAGTATGCATCATTTTTGCTCCTTCCAGTCCCTACACAGTCCTGCAGCTCTATCCCACAAATCCAGACTTTGTAAGCTCCTTGCACTCTCTCGTGTCATATTCTGGGGGGTGCAACACACCTCCTCAGCACCATGCTATGCAAACACCATGCTACAGGGCTGCAATCCAACCTCCACCTGACTGCAGGTATTTTAAACAACTCCCAAATGTAGTAATTATACATGTTACAGTCAGGTGAACACCATGTGGGGCCCAGCAGAGACCCAGGTCAAAGTGCTATGAGAAGTAGGGCATGTACAGCCTGGCTCAGAAACAGCTCCTCCTGATGTGAACATGGGCCAGTCCACATCACCAGGTCTTGGGGTGGGAGATTTCTTCTTGGTCCTCCTGCAACTAGCAGCAGAGATGCACCCTGTGTCTTCTCTAAGAAAGAGATCAACCTCTCACAGACACAAAAACCACACACAAATGCACACAAAGACATTACCTGATGTAGGCTTCTGTGCTGCTTGGACCTGTGAGCTGGTCTTCCATAAGATAGGTGTTGTGTGAGGATGACACCAAGTAGTGACTGAGAGGTTGAGTCATGTCCTGGTAAACTTTACGGTGGGAGGGGTTGAATATGTTCCCATCATCAGACAGCAGGTACATCAGGAAACCATCTTTGGTCATGGCATTTCCCCTCTTGGCTGCCAGACAAACAGAAACCCCATGCTGAAAATCTGACATCACCAAGTTGTGCCATCATCTTCACCTGCTGCTCTCCAGAGGATCTCAAAGGCAACAGGCACTCCCTAGGCATCCAGCTAACAGCAAATATATTGATGCTGTTTGGATGATAATGACAGCTCCATCTGCCTGAAAATGCTTTTAAAACCCCTTCACAAGCTTTCTAGAACACTTGGTGTCCTTGGTAACACCTCAAAAGTACAAAGGCAGCACTTAACCTCACCTGTCTCTAGAGATCCATGGTATAAAGCTCTCCATTTGAGCACCTGAAGCTTCCTTCATACCAATGCAGAACAATTGTCTGGTATCTGCAAACGTAGCCAGATAAATCCTGTCTAGATTTTCCAATTAATACAGGATTTGCAAAGGGTAAATGCAAAATAACCCAACTTTGGGGAGAAATTTGGTTCCTCCCATCTTGAAGGACTAAGTCCTCAGGTCTGGCACCTGCAAACCATTGCCCATTCCTCCCATCTTGAAGGACTAAGCTACATCTCAGTCTAATCCTCAGGTCTGGCACCTGCAAACCATTGCCCCTCTCCTAAAGGTACACCAGGACAGTGCAAAACCAGCCCATGATTATGTGTCTGTTTCTTGAACATGTTCTCTGAGTTGCTCTAGACTGGAGATTCACTTCATTTCTGAGCAGAGAGCTCTGTGATGGCTCTCCTGAACAGCTGCCACCTTCTCTGCCCTCTACTCAGAGATTTCATCACCCAATGGCTTCTCAGGTGCCCATATTCAAAAAGAAGAAACATTTGCCTCCATGCCTGCTGCTGGAGAACAGAAATGCTGCTGCATTCTCAACCCTGCAAAGTCACGTGAGGTCTTATCATTTGAATAAGCCATCAGAGCCTTTCCCAGAGGAATTTCATCACCCCTCTGACTCCATATCCACCTCTCTCCAACTGCTCAGTGTGCTCAAGCCAAAATTGAAGAGAAGTTTTCCTCAGGCTCCCCAGTGCCCTCATGTCTAAGAGCTGCTCATGTTTCCCTAGATGAGTGGGGTTTTAGAAGCAGCTGCAAGGAGAAAATGACACATGTGGCTGCAGAAGAAAACCACAGTAAAGAAAGTCATAGTTCATCAAAATCAAGGAAGATTTTGAGCCAAACCAGCCAGAGTTTCCAACCTACCTCTTTCATTGGGCTCATATCTCTGAATTAAGGCAGGGGCAGCAACAACAGCATCTTCTTCTTGCTGTGTCTCATAGAGGAACCTCACGAGGTTCTGGCAGGACATGAAACCTTCTGCATCTGAGTACTTTTGGAAGATCTTGTCTATTTCCTTCCTCTCTGTCAGTATCTTGTAAAATTCCTCTATCTCATCATCCTCCAGAGCCTCTGTTTTGGACTTGTCACAGTGCTGTAAACGTAGAGGGGAGAAGGAGTGAAAACCTTCTTTCCTTCTGGCATAAGCCACCCGTAACCTGCACCAGGGCTACACAACGTAGAACACAAAATATTGGAAAGAGTTACTGGCCAGGGAATGAGAAGCACTTGGTCAATGACAACGATTCTCACTGACCAGGCCAACAAACATATCACAGTTACAGTTATTGTTATTAGTTACCAGGAACTCCACTCCACAGGCCATAAATTGAAAGGCCTGGCAATCTAAGGACAAAACAAGGCTCAAGAAAAATGGGCCTTTTGATCTCAAGAGGTGGAGGAACACAGGCAAACAATTAGCTCAGTGCAACTTAAACTATTAGTAGAGTCTATGGCCTAAAATCCAGTAAGTAAAGTGAAAAGAGCCTTGAGGCTCAGGCCTTAAGAGGGTGTTCAGGCTAGGAGAAGGACTGGTTGCAAAGATGGCATCAAAACTGACTTTAAAAAACATCCTGTTAAACATGTGCATGTTTAGGCATAGAAAGATCCTTCTTCCCATGGAATTCCCTTTTCTGTTCTCATTCCAAACCACCAGGTAACAAAATGTCCACAACATTTCAAATCAGCTCTCAGCTTCACAAGGAGCTGGAACTCCAACTCTTCAAGCCCCCATATTCCTCTGTGGTTTGAGCTTCTCCACTAGGTAACAACTCTGACAGAGAACCACAGTCAAGGATTTGGCTTTGTTTAAAATATTCCCAGATTCAGCTTTTCATCAGAAATTACAGGTTTTTCTGTGGCAAATCCAGATATGAATTTTGTTGTTTGTTCCTAGCAGAATTCTTCATGGAGAGGTGAACAACTTTGTTTTGGTCACCTCTGGGATGTAAAGCTCTGTGTTAAATACAGGCTGAGCAAAACAGGCTGCAAAGGAAAGCAAGAGCCTGTCTCAGAAGAATCAGTTATGGGCAGGGAATGTTACACCACCTCTGAGTGTTCTTCCCTGCCAGTCTCAGCCATCAACCCATTCCTAGTTCATGTTGTGTGGTTCTGATGACTCCCTCTCCCTCATTATCTAAAGCAGAAAGACCCTCAGCAGTGGTGTCCTCATCTCATACAGCACAATCCCATCCTACATTTCAGGTTAAGTCCAAAAACTCATTTTTTGGCATGGATGCCAAAATTCCTGCAGGACATGACTTGCCTTTCTCAGTTTTTGGTCTAAAAACTCTTCTTCAGGCCGGAATTTGGAATGGAAAGTGTGTTCCAGGCCACTCAGAGGAGGTTGTGGTGTATTTCATTTCACCTTTGCTATGAACAAGTTGCTAACAAGTAACTGTGACTGACAGAGGGTAACTGGTCAAACAAGAGGAATTAAATTGCTTTCCATCTTTGATCTCTTATGACAGATAGAGCTAATGTCCTGGGTTTTATGACCAAAATGCATGTCTCTGTTTAACCAGATACCACACTCATCTCAGTCTAACCCTGCTAATGGTCCCAGTGATGGCTGTGGTGGCTTTGGCAGTGCCCCAGGCAAGATGATAATGAGGGACTTGCATCCTCTGCAAATCCTCCACTATCTGTTGGAAGATACTAGAAGGATTAGAGTCCTTCACTATCTGTTTATGGTGCACATATAAAACCAAACAACACTATCATGATGCACAACATTTCACAAACTGAACTGGGAGCAGAAAGTTCAACTTGTCTTAACTTCAGAATCTGCCCAGTAGACACTATGGGGTCATCTCAGGGATGAGACAACCCGTGAAATGCTCAGTACTACAGACACCTTCACATCAGGTTTGAGAAGTCCAGGGACTTCCAGAAGTCCAGAAGTTAGAACCTTCCTGATGCACCAAAATGAATATTCAGGTTGAAATGAAGTGACCAATTAGAGGAGCTCTGCACAGCCTCTTGCTGCATTGCATATGTCTTACCCAGCTATGTGATGAAAAGCAAGAATAGTGTGAGAACATGCCCTGTAGCTCCCTCTTGAACCCCTGATCACCCTTCCTTCCTGTGACTAAATGAAGAAAAACTAAGCCAGAGAAGATTACCCTTTCAATGTGCTGTAATGTCTCTCTGTCCCATCCAAGCACAGTTAGTGTGCAAACTGAAAATGTAATTGCTTTAGGAGCAAGACAGGCTCTTCCTGGAGGCAGTTCAGCCCACAAGAGATCTGAATTAACCTCCAAAGAGTTCCCCCTTCCAGTGGCTATAGAGGAAACTTAAAACAATAACATGCCTGAGGAGGGTACTTCAAGTCCCTGCCTGCAGTTAGACAGGCTGAATCAAGGTTTAGTAATTGCTTGGAGTTCTTAAGCAAAAAGAGATTTGAACTTCAAGTTTCCACTCCTAGAACTTCCTTGTAACTATTCCCATAGCAAAAGAGGTTCACTGAATGGAGACTGCACCTCCAAAAAGCAAAAAGGGTGTCTTTTCAGATGTTTGATGCTCGAGGGCTTCATCTGACATATGAGATGTATCCTCTAGGATGAGGTGAATCACACCCTGGTCTCCTTTATTATGGAGGTCTGTTATTATAGACCTACACAGGCTTCAAAGGAAGGGGAAGTGTTGGTGACTACTTCCAATGCAGGTGTCTGCACTGGAGGGATCTAACTCAATCTGAGGAATCCTACCCTTACTCCTATTCTTTCAAGGTCTTCCTGAGCAGGGAATAAAGCATGCTCTATGCTAGCCAGAGCAGGCAGTACCTCTGGAAGATTTTGCAAGCTGAAATTCTTTAAAAGGGATCTAACTCAATCTGAGGAATCCTAGCCTTACTCCTATTCTTTCAGGGTCTTCCTGAGCAGCATGGTCTATGCTAGCCAGAGCAGGCAGTACATCTGGAAGATTTTGCAAGCTGAAATTCTTTAAGATCTGATTATGACCTTCCCCCAGTTCTTGCAGTTACCAGAAAGAGAGAGAAACTTTCATAAAGCAAGGATTAGGAAACTCGTACCTGCTCTGGGGGAAGGTTCAAGTGAGATCTTGTCAACTTTCCCTGCTATCTGCTTCCAGGAAGGAGCAGGAGAACTCCTGCCCAGTGCCCAAAACCACCCACATGTTTAGTAGTGATCAGGAAAAGCATTTCTGACACTGCCCACCCATGAGTTCAAATCTTGCTTCAGACAGGATGCACATTTGGAAATCACCCAGATGTTTTATCTCACC